TTTATTGCAAGAGAAGATGAAATCATAAACACTTAAAATAAAAAGGGCAATTAATCTGTTCTCTCTTCTGAGTTTTGTGATACCCTCCTCCATTGCAGGGGAAATACCAAATTCTTAATTCGGGTCATTAAAGAGCAATCAGTGTATTTATTTGTAATGTTTAATTCTTCCTATTTTAATGCTCTGGGATCCTAAACAACTTGTATAATGTGTTGATTGGTACCCTTTTACAGACCCTGATACAGAGTCCCATTGATTTCAATAGGCTTTGGAGCAGGCCAGTTTTTTTTCACAGAACATCTTGAATGCTGGGCCAACTTCTGCCCTCCAATGCAAGTGTGGATTTTCTGCTGAAGATCATGGGAGCCCTGTACAAACAAATATACTTAGCATGTCTTACCTTCCTGGTACTTCCACAAACATGAGCTATCACAATATCCCTTTGTGTGGTGGTTGAATATTATCCCCACTTTACAGATGAGAAAACTGAGACACACAGAGGTAATGTGATTTTTCTGACAGGCACACAGGAAGTTCACTGCATCCTGAGTTTTGAACCCAGATCCCCTGAGTCCTAGTCCACTGCCTTAATCACAAAACTATCTCGCTCAGAAAAAAGTCAGTGCAAGAGGCAGAGAGTAACAATTGAAAACCTGGCTCCTGGTCCTATGATCAGACCCTCACCAATGTTCCTGTTTCTGATGCTGTTCTTACTGTGAATTCTAGGTGCCACATTTGATCTAAGGAAAGTATTATGCCCAATAAATATGACAACGGTGAGAGTTATTCTGCAGTTTTGCAGTCAATGGGAGTCCAGCTGTTGACTTCAATAGGGGCAGGTTCAGGGCCTATGAAGGAACCATTCGCACTCCAATGGATCAAAACCAGCAGGGACTCTTAATTTGCTTCACAATGACATTTCCTTATCTGAGTTCTCTACCTGTGTGTGTGTGTGTGTGTGTGTGTGTGTGTGTGTGTGTGATTGCAGTCTGCCTTGACCTCCTATTTACATCTCTGAAGCAGCATTTTTAGTCCTCAAAATGACTTGCATTTCTAGCATAGCTTTTCACACACATGGATGCACCCGCATTGCTGTTCACAGAACAGGCATGCCAGGCTGGAAAGGACCGTGGTGCTCTGACGTCATGCCGTGTGCTTGTTAGGTACAGGACTATAGTTGCTAAGTCACTGGGCCAGCTATACACAAGGTTAATCAGTCGCATGTTTTGTTCAAGAAAAGAAGTAAAATCTTTCTCTGCACCTGGATGATTTTACTTATTTGCAATGGCTCAGCATAGGTTCCTTATTCTTTATTGCCATGTTAACTGGACACTAAGATCATTGCAATTGGAGCTAGTTAGAAAGTCTTAAAGTTTTTGAGGCAAAAAACTTGAATGAAAATATTCTTTTTCCTGTTTCACAGCCAGCTCTGTTGACCATGGGATTTTGTCAGCATGTCCTTCGGCGATATCTGGGATCACACTGATCTTTTAGACACGTCACTTCAGGGACTTATATGATTTGTGGCAAAGAGATGTGTTCTTGTAGAGCAGACAAAAGGGAAACATTGTGTTGCTTAGTCTGTTTAGTGTATTTTCATCCATGTGGCTAAATGGCATATAATTGAAGAAAGTGACTTCTCCTCAAAGGCCAGTATTCCATGGATGGATCATGCTGTGGGTGGATGTCACAGGAGCTGTTTGAATGAAAACTGACTGCTGATTGGTGCATTTTGACAGCCAGTTAGAACACTTAAACTACTGTATAAAATGGGGCCATTGAGACTTCTCTGCATATGTCCACTGACACCTGAAGCTGCGAAAGAGTAAGAATTGGTGATTTAACAATGGTGTGGGTTATGGAGGGAGGGGCAGGAAGAGGAGTGTATGGGTTATGGAGGGAGGGGCAGGAAGAGGAGTGCTAATTGCAGGTTTCTGCTGCAGAAGAAAGTAAGCTATAGATACTCTAAAACGAAGACATGTACACTGAGGTTCGTGAAGTATTTTATTTCATAGCAGTTCTTTAAGTGATTGTCGCATCCATGGCAGACGTTGCAGATTTCAACTCAGCTAAATGGCATTGTTATAGCTCTTCAATGCTAGAGAGCAAGATTATTTGACATGTTACTTTCTGCCAAAACGAGGATGCCCCATGTTGGCCACTGATCTGCTCTGCATGTGGCATATTGTGTTCCATCCTTTTTTCTAGGAGATGGTAGTGGGGATGGAGGAGTCTGACAAGGATCGGTCTCAGCACAGTGTGGAGACTTCAGACTACACTCAGAAACGTAAGGCAGTTTTACTGTATTGTAAACCTACGCTATGTCATTGAGGTTTAGGAAGGGAGCATGTTTTGGGAACAGAGCATCTATGATAAGCTCTTTTTCACAATATAAAAACACAAGCAAATATTCCTCTGCCCTCTTTGTTAGCAGCAGTGAAAAACTAAGAGCTGTACCTGCACCACTTCCATCAGAATCTCATCCCTTTATAAGGGATTAAAACATACTCATGAGATGTAATTCACTCTGCTATTTAATTTCTCTCTCTCTTTTCACGTATGCAAAGGCCAAGGCTTAGAACTTTTCAAGTTTCGGGTTTTCCTAATTGATCCTTGGTTTTAAAAATAGTCAGGAAGTGCAACACATGTTTACACTTTTAATTAGTAACTGACTTTGGAGTCAACCTGGCAAACACAATATTCAGATAATGTGCAACTACATACATGTATTGACCTTCATTTATCATCTCCAACAGCAAGGAAATTCCTAGGTAGGGCTAAAAATCCAGGAGGGACGTGTTTCTAATCTAAGTTCTTAAACGGCTTTGCCTCCAGTATTAAAGGTTCTGAGAAGAGTATATTATCTTTATGTAACACATCTCCTATGTGCTACAATATCTAAGTCCAGTGCCATCTGGTAATGGCAGAGCGTTGGCCTAGATTTTTAACCCAAACATTTCATCTGTCATGGGTTTGCCAGACCTGTCCCAATGCTCAAATAGTGTTGTGTGGTGTTAGGTTTTTTAGAGGATAGAGTTTATGGAGTAATATCACATGATTACAGACTTGGGTAGTTTTAGAGATTAACACATGCTATCATACCAAAAATCAATTGTGCGTCTTCTATTTAAGAAGTTGTCCATCTAGACCAGTGGTTCCCAAACTTTAACAACCTGTGAACCCCTTTCACTAAAATGTCAAGTCTCGTGAATCCCCTCTTAAAAATGAATATTTCCAGGGATTTTCTCCTGTACCTGACTATAAATTATAAAAGCAGTGATCTTGGAAATATAAAATTTGTTTTTGTGACATGTTTATTACACACTATGTATTATTAATTATTATTTATCATTACAGTATTTTTATTGCATTATGAAAATGGCAACACTCTTCCAAGATCTCACTTTTGTAGCTTGTATCACTTTGAATAAGCCTGTTTATAAGACAAGGCTCCTATGTTTCATCAAGGAGTATCAGATGTGAAACAGCATGAAGGTATTTAAGAAGCCAACTCAGAGTTCCTCCTACACAAGCATTCAGGTCTTGAGCAGTCCAGTCAAACAACGCACGTTACAACAAAGCTTAAATTTGTTCTTCATAATAATTTTAAAAATAATATTAGCTGCCTATTTAATTTTTAAAAAAGCAAAAAATATCCACCTCCCTTTCCATTTCTTATAAGGAGTCTTGAAGGTTAAGTCTCCTCAGTGTCCCATGCTGCCCAGGGTCCCTAGGGACAGCTCTGTCCGCCATTAGGGAATTTTTCCCCGAGAACCCCCTGTAACATTTCGTGAACCCCCAGGGGTTCACGAACCCCAGTTTGGGAAACACTGATCTAGACATTCATTCATTTCAAGGTCATTTTAGACATTTTGTGTGTCACTGACCTGGTAGATTGTAACTATAATACCATGACTTTAAGCCAGTCTACCCTGTTGAACATGGACGTAATGCTGTGTGCTGACAAACCTTGCCCAGCTCAAATACCCATGGATGTTATTTGTTTATGGTGGCTCCACAAGTCTTGCACTTTAATATGCATTCCTAGGTTAGTTTGCCCATGTGTCCTCTTTGCTTTCCAAACTTCCTCAACTAAGAGATTCTTTTATCCATAGCAGATTCAAGGGGACTCCAGGATTTTTCTTGCATGCTCAGAAGCCCTGGAAAGGAGGAGATATTCTGTACTGACATTGCCTACTCGGAGCAAGCAGCCATTTTGCTCAAGGGATCATTTCTACGGGAGTCTAGGAGGATAAAGGACGAGAGCGCCCTAACTGTAAGGGCTTTAAGGCACTTCTTCGCTCGGAACCTGTTGAGCCCCCCTCTTATAGAGAGAAGCCTTGGGAACTTAGTTCATTTTGTGTTTTCAGGGTATTAAACAGGTTAGACTTCTGGGTAAGCATAGCAGAACTGTGTACATGTGAATGTGGGAGTTTGTGTGCTTGTAATGCAATGATAAATTAAAAGGAACTGTGTTGTGGTGGAAGTCAGGAAAGGAGGTATCTCTGCACCAAATGTTAGCTGACGTAACAACTACAGTTCTGCATTGTTGGTGTCTGGGCCACTTGCGTTTCCTCTTTTCACTGTACATTAGAGGAAGGATAATAACCAGACCCAAGGTATTGTGTTGGGGAATTTTGACTTGCATAGGAAAAGAGACTCTGTCAAAGCCAAATGAAGCTATCGGGCCCCTTTCTAAGTGCTACAGTGGATTGGGATGGTCTCATGTATTGAATTTGCCTGACAAAATTGGGATCCCAAATAAGACAACAATCAAGGAAAAGCAATGCTGAAGGAAGTGAGCTCTTCCAGAGCATAACAAATCCCCTTATTTATTTAAAACACACACTTAGCATTATTTAAATTATCATATGTGCATCCACCTTGAAACTGTAAGCTGGTTTGAGTCCCATCCAAACTGGTGGTGGTGCATTTTGACGCTGCAAGAAGCTGAACTACTGCGTTCAACCCATTCTGCTACACTATTGAGAGCTCTGGGTGCAAAGCAGGCTGCAGCATGAAACTTTACAGGTGCTAGGAAACCTGCAGTTTAGGACTCTGGGGAAACCACAGAGAAGATGATTGCAATAGTGGAGACAAGAGACGGTGAATGCCTGGATAAGAACTTCCCTGGAGGTGAAGCAGAAGTAGTGGTATTCCTGGGCAGTGGTTTGTGGCTGGTGAGAGGCAGATTTACAGCCATAAGAGCGGTGGAAGGAAGTGGTAGGGACACAAAGGAATTCACGACACACAATAAAATCAACAGAATTATCCCCATCAAACCTTACAAACTTTCTTCCATTCTTTCTCCCTAGCAGTTTAAGATTCCCAAGGGCAGGCTGGGAGTGACCCGGATAGGAGACCTATCTCCACAGGACATGAAGAAGATCCCCACATTGGCCCTGATTGAGCTGACGGCTCTCTGCGACATCCTGGGCTTGGAGTTAAAGAGAAACAAGGCATCCAAACAGAAGACAAAAGGTCAGTTCTATCTTGGTTTTTGTGATCAAAGTTGGACAATGGGTCTCAGTAACGCTAGACTTCATTACAGACTCCCTCAGTCTAACCAATGTAAATCCAGGCTACAGATTATCAAGATATGCCAGACTTGCACAGCTGTCACTTGAGATCAGAACATGGGTCCATGTTTCTCACTGCTGCTTTCTGTGGGTCTCCCCTATACCCTTGCTCTGCTAACTACTGTTGTAGCTTCTGTTCCTCTCTTTCCTCCAACAACTTGGATAATAATAAAGTGTAGTTCTTGGTTGCAATTGAAGAAATGCCCGTTTTGGTGTATAACCATAGTAAAGAATTACAACATGTATTGTCCTCAATGCAGAGAATCGACTCTTTGGAGTTCCACTCAGCACTTTGTTGGAAAATGACCAAAAACTCATCCCCAACACCAAGGTCCCACTGATTCTCCAAGCAGTAAGTTACCTTCTGAGTTCACTTGCACGTGATAGCTCCTTGGCCTTGAACCATAAGCTGGACGGCTGCCTTCAGATCTGTACCTGAGAGCTTTCTGTTTCCCTTGTAGTTGCTGTCATGTTTGGAAAAGAAAGGGCTTGACACTGAAGGCATCCTGAGAGTTTCTGGGTCCCAGACCAGGATTAAGGTACAATCATTTCGGTAATACTCTAAAGTACGGGAGTACATGTCAAGTGATCATGTTGCATGAGCCTGATGTATGGTATCAGACTTATTTAAAATTATCCCCACTCACCTTGCCAACACAATATGGAAAATGCACTGCTGGGGAGCCTGCTAGTAAGTCTACGTTGTGAAGTACTCTGCAGTGTCTGCATTGTTGAGGGGTTGCCCTGTGCAAGATCCCCCCCTGTTGGATTCCCATTCTGTTGTTAGTGAAAGTGATGGGGTATTTCCTCCCAATGCAGAGCCTGGAGGAAAAGCTGGAAAGCGACTTCTATACCGGTCTGTTCCGCTGGGATGAGGTCCGCCAGAATGATGTGTCTGGCTTACTGAAGAGGTTCATTCGAGAGCTGCCCACCCCTCTCTTGACAGCCGAGTATCTGCCGGCTTTCGCTGCTGTGCAAAGTGAGTCCTTTTCCAAGTAGTCTGGCCTTAGCAGCCTTTGGTTTTTTTCAAAGCTCTGTTGGTCTTGTGATCTCCTATTTGATATGTGCCACATAAGCTTTTGTGTTCTAGACAGATATGAACTAGGATCAGTCAAATAAATACAGACACCGCACCCAGTGTGCTGAAAACACTAGATTCTCTCTTATTTCCAATAGTGTACGAAAGTCGTTTGCATGGCACTCAAGTATCCCAATAGCATTATTTATTACTGGTGTAACAGTAGCACCTAGGGGCCACAATTCAGATCAGGGCCCTGTTGTACTAGTCACGGTACAAACTTATGGTAAAAATTATCATCTAAGATAAGACCGATAAAGGATGGGAGGGAAAATAGAGGCACAGAGAGAGGAAGTGACTTGCTCCAGGTCAGACAGTAGGTCAGTGGCAGAACCAGGAATAGAAACCAGCTCTCCTGAATCCCAGTCCTTTGCCCCCCCCCCCCCCCCCCCCGCCATTGGACCACGATGCTTCCTCCCTAGCCTGCCGTAACACATGGATTGCACACCTCTGGACAAGGCCACATACACACATTCCCCCCCCCCCTCTTTTTTTCCCTTCTGGTTCTCAGCTAGAACATGGCTTTTGTCTCAAAACGTGTTGCTTCCATAAACATAGATGAATGTGGCACCAGTTCACTTTTCAATCCATCTAGTGTAGTGTATTTTTCAAGTCTTTCAGCTGCTGTAGTGGAACATAAATGCATTATTAAATTAGTTAATTTTTATTAATGCTGTTGCGCAAAACTCACTCATTCCCTACTTTTCTGTACTTGTCTCTCTGCCTCTGGAGAAAATATAGAGTAGCAGTTGGAGCACATTCTAGGAATCTGGTTTCTTGGGTGCTGCGAGTGGCTTTGCCACAGAGTTGCTATTTTAATTAAAGCAAATCACAACTTCAGTGCTTCTGTTGACCCATCTCTGAAATGGTTATAATCTGCCTATTCACAGGGATGCTGTGAGCTCAATTAATTTTGTAAAACACTCTCACGTTTCAGTAGTGCCTATCCTAGAATCGAAATAATGTACTGAGGTTCATTGGAAAAATTTACCTTCAGACTTCAGAAACTAATTGCCATTTTTCAAAAGTGACTTAAGCTCTGAAGTATCAGAGTGGTAGCCGTGTTAGTCTGGATCTGTAAAAAGCAACAGAGAGTCCTGTGGCACCTTTAAGACTAACAGATGTATTGGAGCATAAGCTTTCGTGGGTGACATGCATCCGACGAAGTGGGCATTCACCCGCGAAAGCTTATTCTCCAATATATCTGTTAGTCTTAAGCTCTGAAGTTTCATCGAGAGTCAGTAGGATCCAGGCTTTTAAGGGCTGGTCTACATGGTGCTGCAGGTTGGATCTGGGGGGTGTGAACTGTAGTGTGCTTTAACTGCCCTTTATAGACCTACTAAAGCAAACTAAATACAGGGCAGTTAGAGCGTTCTACAGTTCACACCCTCATAGTCCAGTCTGCAGTACCTTGTAGACAAGCCCTAAATCACTTAAGTGCTTTGTTTTCCCCATATTAGTGGTATGTGTTTCACAATAGGGCACCAGCATGTTCAGAGCTCTGATTCCATGTGGGAGCCAGGTGGATTTAGATGTTTAACTAGACTCAGATTATTTTGCATGTATGCTGTTGCTGTTTGATGGGACACAGTACATTCTCCCTACTGTAGATATCCCGGACCTGAAGCAGAGATTGCAAGCTCTCAACCTGCTTATCCTGATTCTGCCAGAGCCCAATAGAAACACCCTAAAGGTAATAACCACTTTCTACTGTATCAGTTAGTTGTGTGAGAAAATGTGAATCCTTCCAGAGAACCTATGTCTTAATATCTCATGTAGAGAGAGAGGTATAAGCAATCTGGACTTATTCTTTTGATCTTGCATCAACTCCATTAACTTGTCTAGGTGTGGATGCCTGGGGCCAAACAAACTCCTGTGTGAGTTCAGTGGGATTGCCAAGTTTATGCATGCAAATGCAGGAGCAGCAGGAGTCATGCCTTGTCAGGGTACATCTTATGCCCATGTTTGAAAATCTGGCTCTTCCTATTAGAATATCCATTGACCAAAGTCTCCTTAGCTCTTGGATACCAAGATGCAGCTGGTCTTTGTGATTCTTATATAATATCTGTTTAAAATGTGGAAAAAAGTGCTGCAGAAGTTTTAACTTTCTACCCCCTACAGATCAGACTGCATTAAAATCCCTTTCTCACCTATGCAGCTAATTTTGAACAAGAGAATGTTGTTTCAGGGGCAGTTTTGTGGCAGTGCAGGACATTTGGCTTTTACTTCTGTTCTCTAGCAGTTCGGGTACCCAGATGTCAGGAGTACTGCAGAAGCCATGTCCTTAATTCCCACAAGTATCTCCCAAGTCGCTCGATAGTGCTGCCTCCAGATGATCAAAGTGCTATATCTGCATAGTCCTGCAGAACTATTGTAACTTTAAAGCTCCGGCTCAATTGGTCTAGTGTTCTGAGGCAGCTTGGATGGCTTATGGTTTTGGGTAGAAACAGGAGACGCTTGTCTGTTTCGTCTGAGTGAAGCGTTGAATTTTGCGGGGTCTTTGGAATCTGACATTCAGAGTGAATTCCAAAGGATGCAACCTGCCACGGGTCAGGGAAGAAGACCTTATCTGCCTTGTGCAAATCTTGTTGACTTTCCTGACTTATGGATTTGACGCCCCAAAAGCCGCCACCACAGCTTGGTACAACTAATTGATGACCACCTTAGTGCTAGGACCTGACCACCAATCCCACTTACACTTGTGATTTGCATTAAGGTCTCCAGAAATGAAAAGCTATTGACATTAACCAACTAAGCAACCCAGCACTTGCCCAATCAGGTTTGCTGAATCGTACTGTGCACAGATGTCTTGAAACCACATGTCTTTCTCCCTCTTTCAGGCTCTGCTGGAATTTCTCAGTAAAGTGGTTGCTAGGGAGAAAAAGAACAAAATGAATCTCTGGAATGTTTCCACAGTCATCGCTCCAAATCTCTTCATGCATAAAGGACTGGCGAATAAGATCCCAGAAGGGAAGGAGAAGCAGCTGGCAGAGGGGGCAGCTGACGTTGTGCGGATGATGATCCATTACCAAGACTTGCTTTGGACTGTAAGTCACATGGCTGTTTGTTGGGTGATAGCAACCTGTGCATTAACCAGACTGGGCTATAACTCAGAAGAATGAGATAATCCTGGAGATTTTAAACGAAACAGAACTCTGTAGACAAAAGTTGTTTGGCTAAACTCTCTTGTTGTCTTTGCTGTTCTGAAGGCACATAAGCAAAATATTATGTCTATGGAATGTTGTTTTTAGGGGCTTTTTCCTATTTACAATAGAAATCTTTGAAAGACTCACTGATTTCTCTGCAGGTGACCTGGCCTGTGGATGTGATATGCATAAAGCCACAAATCCTCCCTTTTAAAAAGAAACAAAGCCACCAAAAGTCCCCTAAAGAGCCATGGACATTGCAGGAGTAACTTTCTGCAGATGCCCTAGGAGGCATTCTTCTTCCTCAGGGTTGAAAGTGGGTGGGGATGTGCCACCCCCCCCCCCCCCATTCACCATGTTCTCCTTAACCCCATCAACCTTTCAACGTAGGGAAAACTTACGCATGCGCCAGTGTAACTGTCAACATATATTGGAGCCCAGTGCTTTCCGAGTATCTTTTATAGAATGACTGTCTAGTCCTTGAATGTATCCATCCACGCACCCCTCTCCATTGGTTCTATTTATTGGTTTGTTTTTATTTCCCTTAGATCTCCTCTTTCCTGGTAGCTCAAGTGAGAAAACTGAATGAGAGCACCAGCCGGAGGTACCAGTTCTATGACAAACGGATCAAAAACTTGCTACGGAAGATTCACACAGACAAGGACAAAGTGGAGAAGAACCAGGCAGAAGTAAGTAAGCTGAACCCTCTGAGGATGGGGTTGAATGAGGATTTCCCGTTAAAGGTCCCCTCATAAATGATGAGTGTATGCCAGGGAATTAAATTCTCTTTAAACCAAAATTAAAGAGAAACAGAAAAAAAACATTACAACAAACTCCTCGAAAATTCGTCTCACTGGCTTGCTGCAAAACACCCCCATTTCCCTTACTAAACTGCGCAAATGCTGTGGCTTAGATACCATGTGCTCTCAGGCTTGTGTATGAAGAGGGAAATTTGAAATGTTGGCGGTTGAATCTTGTCGTCTTAGCTGCACCAAGTGTAAACTTGACACAACTGAGGATTTGGCCCTGTATGCTCACAATGGACATACTGGCTTATCTTACTGATACACACTGGCTTTTATTACAAGTGCCAGCTAGAAATCCTAGAAACCTAGAGATGAGGGCAGCAGCCTTCAGGTACCTGTCTGTCTCTCCTGCCCTGCTTTTGTGCTTCCAAACACTTGTTCTGATCAGTAGGGTCGCATGACACCAGCGTTAATGAGTAAAGGTGCATGCAGTGGTGCTGGATATTAGCAAGCAATAGTTCCATGACTAGGGCTCGTAGGCAGTGAGATAATACAAATAATAATAGTGATTCACTGCACTTGTTTCCGTACCACTTTCTTTCCCATGGGTGCTGACAGACCCTATCCAAATTCTGTTTAAAACAACAGTTACTAAATGGGAGCCTCTCTTTTTGGCATTTTTTTTTTTTAAAGGAAAAGTTAGGAAGTGATGTACAGACTGTGGTGTACTTGCAAATTTTGGTTTTACTATTAAACAATTAGAAACCACAAATCAATTAAACAAAAGGGACAGGTCACTCTCAAATCCCGCATTATGCAATGCATGTTATCACTGTTGAAAAGCTGCTGCTTAATAGAGTTGGCAACTATCCATCCAGTATGGAACAAACAGGTATAATTTAAGCAGGAAGAACTGTGTGCGTTGGGACATCCATTATAAAACTTTCAAAGGACTGTGCAGAGAATGGAAGTTCAGTTTTATGAAGGATTTTGAGACTGAAATTTTGGCTTTGTTCTGATTGGAACCAAAAGTGAAATTTTTTAAAAATCAAAACGTTTTGTTTGGAAAATGCTGCAGTGGGGCATTTCAGTGCTTTCAGAACCCCCTCCTTTTCAGTTTTTCTTCTAAAATGAAATTCAGGCAAAATCAACCCAATTTCACTAAGCTTTTCCATTTCAGTGGAACTGACTGTTCTAGCTACGTCAAAGTTTCTATACCAGCTTGAATGCCCAGACCACTCATGACCACCAGAGGGCACCCACACTTAATTCTATTCCAAATTATATCCAAGACCAACAATTCCATCCTTGGCTACAATATTAAAACAAAAGTCGAGCTCTTTAATCTTCTCCGCTTTTAGACAGTTCCGTATTTTCACATCTCAACCTGGTATAAATCCCATCAATGGGCCATTGGATTTGTACTTGTACATGATTTCCCACCTCCATTTAGAAAACTGGCATCTCTCTTGTTCTAAATTGCCCGTGTCTTTCTTTTAAAACCATTTTTCTCCGCCCCCCCTCTATTTTTAGCCTTCCAAGACAGTGAAAGTCCAGACATCTCTGTTACTGAAGGATTCACTGGAGGTTCATCTGAACAATGGAACCAAAGCTGCTGATGTCCTGAGGCAGTTTCAGAAACACCTCAGTCAGAACGGCTGGAGTATTGTCAACAAAGTCAGCCTCATCAAACGGTAAAAGGCTCTTTCTTCATTATAAGCAGACAGAGTAGTCCAGTTTCCATGTTTTCTCTTGCAGGGGTGGGAGGCTGGCAAGGGGAGAAAGGTTATATAGTGACTACATTCAGTGACTCATTCTGGTTTGCTGTTTAAACCTTTTTGAAGTGTGTTTGGGAGGGAGAAGAGGAAACCCTAATCTCCCTTTAAATTGTGACTGCGTCATCGTACGGGCTTTTGGGGATGTGGAGCAGTTACTGGTCTGCTGCCCCCTGGGTGCTAGAGAGCAGGTGAACTGTAACAATATGTGCAAGATCCTCTTGGGGAGGAGGAGTGGATGCCCTTCTGGGGGGGTGGGGAGGGAAACCCTTATTGGCTTCCATTTTGAAGTTTGCAAGTAAACCAGGAGAGGTGGTGTCAGCTTTACTTAGCAGCCAAAATATCACCCTTTGTGCTAATCCAGACAGTTGCTTGTCTCTGGCAGTGTTTTCAGGAAGCACACATTGATGCATCTCTTGCACCACATCCCTAGGCAGGGTATGTCCAGGCTTAGGAGAGCAGGGGAGAAAGCAATCAAAGCTGTCACATTAGACTGGAAAGCATTAGCACTAATATCCCAATGACCAGCTCCCTTCCCTGCCAAAGGCTGCTGCAGTCTTCCTTACACAGACGAGTGCTGCTCAGATAGGCTGTCGGTCTGAGGTGAACGCTGCCGATAGACATTGATTTTGTGCCTTTTATCTTCTGTCTGAGAAGCTAGTCCTTTGCCAGCCCTTTAGTGGGTCTCGTAGCAGTGAAGAATGTCCCTTGCTTCAGTCTTGATTCTTGGGTGATCTTTTCAAGAGTTGCACTCCTAGAGCATGAGGAGAGTCTACTGCCCTATGCCCTGTAGCTTCTCTTACCCCTGCTGGCCTTAGAAACATGAACTGCTGAGTTGATGCGATTGTTCCGGCCTGCCTTGTACAAAGCCCAATTACAATGTTGTGTTTCTTCTTTGTCTCCTGCAGTAATGGTGCTGTCGAGTCGCTGAACCTGCTCCTCTACGAAGTAGGCGGCAATATAAGTATGTGAGATTGGATGCTGAATAGCTACAGATGTCTTCTTGGTGCTGGGGCATTAGTGGGGAATTAAGAAAGTCTGGCTGCAGGAGAGGGTTCTGATAAAGGTGGAGCAAACTGTACTCCCCATGGGTGAAATTCACCCAAGTACACAGGACCCATACGAAACCCTCTGCCACTTAAGCGGTTCAAAGAGTCCTTGAAGTGGTTATCCAGGCAATCCAGCTTGATAGAGAGGGGAGTTATTTAAAAAATGGGCCCAATAAACAGTGTTAAAGCCCAGACATCCCGAAGTTGTGGTCAGCTCCCCTTGAGAACAAGGCCATTTGGAACAATGGGAGCTTGTGGGTGCTGAGCTCTTCTTAAAATTGGTCCATTTGGCGCAGGTGCCTACAGTAGAGATCTCTTTAAAATGTGACCCTAAAATAGTTACGCTTTCTGAAGGAACTTCTCTGAAATGCAGCAGAACTAGGTACGTGTCTACTTCTTTTCATGGTGATACAAAGGCTTTTCTGGCACTAATGCTGAATGACCTGCAGAACTTGCTTGTGGTTTTAACACAGACATCCAGAGCAATGCCATTCCATCCGTTGCCATCCTCTAATTCATATACAGGTTTTCTAACCAAACCCAACTTTATTCTTGTGAGTCAGTCTCCATTGTACACCTCATCCTGTTTAAAGACTGAGTATGCAGCATTAGTAAAAATGAACCTGTGCCATAATATGATGTACAGTATCATCATCTATTACATATTAAAGGAGAAGACTAATGTTGCTGGAAGGCTTGCTCACTAATGAACTAGTAACAACCTGTTTGCTATCAGGGAAAGACAACACCCAGCTGGCTCAACAAATTCAAGGTTCTAGTTGGGTCCCTGCTTGTCTTGTGAGGACTGATAAGGCTTGTTATGGTATTAGGAATCTTTAAAGATGGTCTCTGCTAATGAGTACAAAGGACATAGAGGTGAGGCAACATGGACTAAGCACAAAGATGGAGTTTCTGTAATGTCCATCTATAATGAGCTACAGGATTGTCAGGAGAATAACTCTATCTACCAGAAGAGGTCTGTCTTTAATGCTTCTCCATTATAGTATCAACAGAAGACAAGGGACTCTGCCTGCTTGATAGAAGTAACTAAATCCCTTCTACCAGATCCAAAGGCTGCGAGTGATCTGTATGAAGGTCTTTACCAGCACTAAAGTTCTTGGCTGTTAATACTGTGTTATGGTGCCTTTATCGTGATAAAAGGCCAAAGCTAGGAATGAGGGTGGTAGGCTGGTTCTCTGTAGTGACTGAAGTTGGCAACAAGAGTGTATCTGTTCAGGAATCTTTACCAGATCATATGCTGGAGGATGGCCCAGTAAGTGTCATTTATTCTAAGGGACACTGTCAACTTACCCCAGAACTTAAACACACACAACACTGGGGGAAATTATTCATGATCTAGAATGAACTTAATTTTTTTTGTTAGCTGCCAGTTCTTTATTAAAAATACACAGAACCGTTGGCAGGACAAATTATTGTCACATGTAAGTATTAGAGGGTGAGGTGTTTAACCACATGCCTTTCTTTAAGCTCATGATGTTGACTTGAACGAAAGGTACTCACATGCTTAGCGTTAGACTCATGCTTATTACCTTGCTGAGTCAGGGCCATACTTCCGTAGTTAATACAGTCGGTAAATTGCTGCATTACTCTTAATGCTTCTATTCTGGTCTGCCATTTCTATATGCGGCAGAACTGTGTAAGGAAAGTAAAAGGTAATCTGATCTCTGGTTGATTTTAAAAAAGAATAGATGTTGATTTCTGAAACGTTGCATTGGAATGTGATAAACCCAAAGACTCTCTAGTGCATGAGAACCAGAAAGTGAAATTGACTGGAAACACATGTGAAAATTACAAATGTGGCTTTTAATTGACCAAGCTGAAATGAAAAAGATGAAATAAACAGCATTGATTGTGAAAGCTAAATTAAATAATACAAATTCTGTCATCTTTATAAGCTAAGGTAGCATTAGTAACACAGGTAAGGAAACGTCGTTTTTTTAAAAAATGTTTTTAAAGGGAAGATCAGGTTGTAACCCATTTCTGTGCTTAAACTTCTCCAAAACCACTGCCTGCACACTCAGGCCATCTCTAAACTCAGAGTTTTTATACTGGTGTATTTAAAGCAGTACGTTAGTGCTACAACCCCTCTAGTGGGGGTGCAGTAATTTTGATATCGCTTATTCCTGTATGGGAAAGGGAATAATTATACTGGTAAAAGTCACTTTTATACCAATATAACTGTTCACACTAGGACTTTTACCAGTATAATTATTTCAGTAAAAGAAATCACACCCATAACCCAATTGTTATACCAGTAAAACTTTCTAATGCAGACTAGGCCTCAGATCAGATTCCAGCAAAGCACAAACAAGTGATAGAACTTTATACATGCAAAACGCATCATCAGCACAGAGGTGGAATTGTCTATCTCATATCTGCAAGCATTAATGGTCCTGAAGTGATATACCCATCTTATAGAACTGGAAGGGACCTTGAAAGGTCATTGAGTCCAGTCTCCCGCCTTCACTAGCAGGACCAAATACTGATTTTGCCTCTGATCCCTAAGTGGCCCCCTCAAGGGTTGAACTCACAACCCTGGGTTTAGCAGGCCAATGCTCAAACCATTGAGCTGTCCCACTCCCCTAAAGTGCATGGGTAAAGTTGCATGTTTACAAATGAAAACCACTTCTTCTTAAAACTTGATCCGTGATGAGTCTACTTCTAAAAACAAGGGTAGCTATTACTGACTTATGGAACTTGTTTGCTCTAAATAGCTATACATACATATTTAAAGTAATTTGAATAGTGTTACACACAGGAAAAAGTAATAGCTATGGGACTGAGGGTGCAAAATACTTCTTTTGAAAATTTGTGTTTTTATCCAACAGGTGAACATTGCCTGGATCCGGATACATACCTCTTAGACTTGTACCACATCAACCCCCATGCTGAATGGATTATAAGGCAAAATCCGTCCTTTCCACGGATGCTCTAGGGAAAACATGAGTGAAAATAGACTTTTGTTTCAAGATTCTGGGTGAGAGCAGAAAGCTAGAACTTTTCTTAATGAATGTGGCGTCCCAGAATGGAGGAAGGTTGTTACTTTGGAGGGAAATAAGCAGTGTTAGTTTGGAATGTTTTTTACTATTTCAGTTACAGCAGGCTGAAAAAAGAGAGCACGTGAGAGTTGGTAACCAATGGAAGTCAACATTAGGTCACAGAATCCAGAGGGTGTGAATACTTTTAGTAAAGCACCTGCAAGCAGAGGTGCAGAGAAAGTGGGGGAGAGACCTGTCCTGGAGGAAGAACCTGGTAGAATGTGTCTTAATCCTTTTGGGTTTGCATTGTTCTTTATTTTGACCACGTCCTCATTTTGGAGGAGAGAGATGGTCAAATCAACTAGCACTATCAACAGTCTAGTCTCCTTGTGTTGCATGTGTTAAGTTTCATGGACTTTTCAGTGAGCGTCACATGTACAGTTCTGGGAGAACTAGACTCGTTTTCCCCCATCCCCCCACTCCTCAAGTCTCATGGTTTCTCTGAAAAGTGTTAGGATGCTTTTGATTCTGTTTGTGGAGGGATGTAATGAGTGGCCAGATATAAGGAGAGGCTTGCATTCTTCAAATAACATCTACAGTTAAAGCTGCGCACAAGAAAAAGTAATTGTTTCTGGAAAGACATGGATTTGGAATCAGCTCTTCTCAGAGGGACCAGCTGATAGAAGAGATATGCCAAGGAGGAGCTGCTTCCCCATCCCTGCACATGTCCTGTTGGTAATGCACAGTGGAAATCATAATAGATACACCCAAGATGTGAAGTGCTCCAGTACTGAAAGGAAGACCAGCGTCTAGTTTTGCTGCTTGATCATCTTTGTGAAACCTCCAGGGTAAAAGGTGGCAGAGGAGAGATTCTGGAACAGTATTTGAGGAATGTTTTTATTGTATTTCAGAGAACTTCTGTCCTGATATAGGGGCCAAACTGGACTTGGTTTGGGTGTGGTAGATCATATGTTAAAGCCTGCAAAATCAACATTAATGTGAGGCTTAGTCTGACCTGGCCACCGCTCCACACAGCTTCTTATAGTCCTTGCCAGGGTAAAGGTAATCTAAGTGATGTGCGGAGATCATCTTTGACTACAAACTCCATCAGGCTACTGTGAGCACTGAATCGGGCTCTTTTATACTGTCTGCAACCTTCCATGACTCTGGAGTGTGCATGCCCTGGGTTTGGGGAGAGCCCAGAATAGTTACAGCCTGTCTGGTAGCATAAACATCTGTGTACTGGCTTCCTTAAGATCAGAACTGGAATGCAGTTCTGGAAGAGTACCTCAGAAGTGTCACTGTCCTTACAGTGGTGCTGAAATCCCTAAAGAATGAAGGAGCCCACTATACACAATGGTAGAATGTGGAATGTGCAGCAAATCTATCCGTCTAACTGTACCCCCAGCAGGCAATATAATGTATTTTAAACATTCATGTGGCACAGACAGGGCTGTCCTTCAAGTATACTTCAGAAAGTCATCTTTTGCCCATCCTTATCCACCCTGGAGACGATCTCAGTATTATTTATTTCACTAATTGAATTGTTTCCATTGCCATCTGAATTGATCCTCTTTACTATTTTCTCAGGCTGATATTTAGCTGTTGCTCTTCCCTGTCTTGGAATCATAAAATTTTTTATAAGAGCACTTCAAGTATAGATTTCTTTTCCTTTTTCCATCCCAGTTAAATTCTTTTGAGAGGATTAAGATCCTTGAGAAACAGCTGAGCCATATTCTGTTTAATTCTTCTTAGTCCTGATGTTGTTCCTGTATTTACGCTGCTGACTTTTTAAAATGTTGTCTATATGAGAATGTCTGTTGTTTTTGATTGTTTTTTAGATTAAAGCTATGATGTGCAGATGCACGGATTTGAGGGATCATTACTTTCATTTCTTCCACTCTCCTGATCCTCTTTTAAAGAGCCTAAATAGCAATCTGAAATTGTAAGTGAAGATTTTCAAAAGTGGCTAACGACTATGGTGCCTCAATTTTGGGAGTGGGGAGGGGTTACTTAAGTGACCTTAGAGGGGCCTGGTTTTCAGAGGCAGGATGCTTCACGACTCCTGCAAATCAGGCTGCTCTTAGTTTGGGCCCTCAAAACACAAGGGCCACAAATTACTGGTCACTTCCAAAAATCTTGGCCAAAGCGATTGTTATGAGCATTAGCAAAAGAAAAGAACAAAAACACAGCAGAGATTTACAAAACCATGAATACAATATTCTAAAGTAATAGCTGCTGCTTCATGGTGGCACGTCTTTGGATACCAGGGGACCATCTCATGAATGATGTGGGAGTTAGAAGTATGTAGATGAGCCCAATCATGCCCTCCTTCTAAAGGTGTTTGTACTGTAAGATGCACTCCTGATAGTTCTAAATCATGTGGCTTTCTTTTTTTTTTCTCCACCCATAGGCTACTATCCTAGGTAGCTTTATTTATATATTCAGTTTTGTTTTGTTTTTTCAATGTAAAACTTGTCTAGTGACATTTCATAAGTCATTACAGTATCTCTCCATTGGGAACTGGTGCAGAGCACTCCTACCAGATACAAACAAATGACCCCCCTCCCTCCCAAGCCGATAAGCAGCTGACTTTGCATTCCCCCTTCTCCCAACCTCAGCCCAGTTGTTCAGAGAGATGGCAAGAGATGAACGCTTCAGAATGTTGGGAAATGCCAATCAATTGGTTGCTGGGGGTAATGATTTAGAGTTATCAGTAGGAGGGATACTCTACATCTTGGGCTAATTTTTTTCAAAGTTTTCAAATCTGTATACAAAATGCATGCCTGATTTGCATGCACAGTTAATTTAACTGAACATTCAAATGCTCCTCATCTATTTTGGGGAGGGATAGCTCAGTGGTTTGAGCATTGGCCTGCTAAACCCAGGGTTGTGAGTTCAATCCTTTAGGGGGTCATTTAGGGAACTGGGGTAAAAATCTGTCTGGGGATTGGTCCTGCTTTGAGCAGGGGGTTGGACTAGCTGACCTCCTGAGGTCCCTTCCAACCCTGATATTCTATGATTTGCAGGTACAACCGTCTGGCTTGTGCATGCAAATTACAGACATTTTGTGCACGTTTTTGAAAATCTGACATGAAATTGGCAAGTATAATAGTGTACTTTGAGACAATAGAGATCCTTTATACATGAAAACACAAAGGGCATTGGCCAATGTAGTGGTGAACGAGATGTGCTTGTTTTAAACAAATATATAGTTCAAGATACAAAGACGGACAACAGTAGCAGCAGGATAGTCCAAATTGCAGTACAGGACTCTGCTTGCTTTGGTATGAGGAATATTTTATAGTGCTATAACAACTGTGCATTCTGATTGACTACAAGGGCTAGAGGGTGGGGACAAAGGAAAATGCTACTCCATCACTTCTATAGAACAACTCATCTCTTGGTGAGTTTCTCAGCAAACCAAACAATGTGAAATAATTGCTGTGAAAAACAAGGTTAGAGGGAATATCTCATGAGGCAAATAGGCTAGGAATATAAAACTATATTCAAATTGTATGTCAAACTCCTCATCTCTGTCCATAGAATTGATGTTCTTTTGTATTTTCAGTTTCCTAATTTTGTAAAAAAGACCAAGTCTGGTGAGGCTAGAAAAGTGTCACCACCATGTAAAAGTTTTGTTTTGAATGTTAGCTTTTATTAACTTTTTACAATAGTTTTAATGGTGTATTTAAAATCCACTTAATCAATAAAGCAACAAAAGAATCATAAGATGTTCGATAAATGGCTTTCTTATGTCCCATGTTCCAGTGGCAGGGTATGAAATCCGCACTTAGGATGGGATAGCCACTATGAGCTTGACTGGACAAAAATACATTCAAGCTACTAGGTTTGTCTACTGGAGATACTAGCCTATATTCTGATCTCAGTTACACGCTGGATTTATTAAATTCATTTGAAGACAGTGGCCCAAATTCAGTCTTGGCGGCATACAGTGAGTAAAACTTTGTGCATTAATATTTGCAGGATTAGGCTATAAAGAGACAGATCCTTGTTCTATTGAAGGTAATGGCAAAACTCCTATAGATGGGGCCAAGATTTAGTCAACCAGACAGACTCGAGTCAAAATATAAACAATACATTTTTACAGGTCTTGAAGTGAAATTATCAATATTACAATAAAACATATTGACTGTAAGTCTTAGTACTGAATGGCAAAAAGACCAGTCAAATTAACTACAATATGACCTTTTTTTTTTTTTAAAGTAACTTTTGACTTTCCCCATGTCTTTAGTTCCAGACATTGGCAAGATGTACACAAGCTTACTAACTTGTCTCTGTCTTCCTTGTGGTATAGGACCTGATTCAAACTCTCTGTAGACGCTACCTCCTCACTTAGGATGAGGTGCCCTTCAGACCTATTCTCAGGAAGTGATGAGGTCTGTAACAGAGCAAGCTGGCCATTTAAAGGTAAATTGCTACCAGCGCACTTGTAGGGCCTCAGCCCTTTTAAAACTTGGACGAGTTGTATGACTGAGAAGGGAATCATGTGATGGCATGACTCCCACTAAATAAGAGGGAGACAGGGAGGGCAAGATGTACCTGGGAGCAGGGGTGTTGGAACAGTTTTTATAGTGGGGGTGCTGAAAGCCATTGAACAAAACTTTACACCCTATATATGATGGAAACCATTTAAAGCCAGGGGTGCTGTCACACCCCCAGCACTCTTGAGTTCCAGCACCCCTGCTGGGTGCATTTCCACAGCTGGACCTGGGAAGGGAAGAACTGAAGGGAACAGAAGCAGCTGCCCCAGAAAGCACTAATTGGGGACTGAAGGAACAAAGAAGTGTGTGCAAGGCAGCTTTAAGGAAACAATCAAAGTGCTGGGGAAAGGAAGCACCCAAGGAAGGGGTGGCGTTTGGGTTAGAAAGCTGGCAGGGAGGCCTGGAGCTATCTGTGGGTCTCCATCACAGGCCTCTGGAAGACATCCTGAGATACAGGGTTGTTGCTTTTTTTATTAGGGCCAAGGAGGAGTGTGCCCTGCATTGAGATGTAAGGAGCTCTTGTTCTGGTGATGCTTTGGGGCAGGAGGAGGATGGTCTTGGCTTGGACAGATGGAGCAGTATGGGGATGACACCTTCTCTGTGCAATTGCTTGTCAGTTAGGGGGTCCCAGGCCAGGACTGTGAAAGAAGGGGGAGGAGCCTCCCAACACCCGGTCCCTGCAGCCATGGAGAAGAACTTATCTCAGGGATGGGCAAGAACTGGTGTTAACCCCTATCTTCAGGAGAAAGGGACTCAACCCAGGAGGGAGGGGGACAGTCTGCTTTTGTTCGACTCATTTACTTCAGGAGAGGATCCTTTTGGTTTGGCCAGAGGGTTAAAGCACCCAAAGCATCCTACCAGCTGGAGGGAGACACTGGGCCACAAAGGGAAACTGAGGCATGGCATACCTGATGAGGTTCCAGGTAAGATCTTGTAACAAGGAAGGAAACCAGACTGCTGATTGTTTCATTCCTGAGCCTTATTGTCCCGTAACGATCTCTATGGCTTGTGTTTGGAAATGAATACTACAGCCTTCAACGACTTCCCTTGTCCTCTAAGGCCAAAAGGAACCAGCTGGGTTGGGAATGATTCTCATAGACTCATAGACTTTAAGGTCAGAAGGGACCAATATGGTCATCTAGTCTGACCCCCCGCATGATGCAGGCCACAAAAGCTGACCCCCCCACTTTCCCTTAGCTCTGCTGTTGAAGTCTCCAGATCGTGATCTAAAGACTTCAAGTCGCAGAGAATCTTCCAGCTTGCGACCCCTGCCCTATGCTGCGGAGGAAGGCGAAAAACCTCCAGGGCCACTGCCAATCTACCCTGGAGGAAAATTCCTTCCCGACCCCAAATATGGCGATCAACAGAACCCCGAGCATACAGGCAAGATTCTCTAGCCAGACCCTCATTTTACCAGCGATGGCCGTTATTGCCTAATTGATTAGAATCACGTAATCCCATCAAACCATTCCCTCCATAAACTTATCTAGCCTAATCTTGAAGCCAGAGAGGTCTTTCGCCCCCACCGTTTCCCTCGGAAGGCTGTTCCAAAATTTCACCCCTCTGACGGTTAGAAACCTTCGTCTAATTTCAAGCCTAAATTTCCCCACGGCCAGTTTATATCCATTCGTTCTCGTGTCCACATTAGCACTGAGCTGAAATAATTCCTCTCCCTCCCTGGTATTTATCCCTTTGATATATTTAAAGAGAGCAATCATATCGCCCCTCAGCCTTCTTTTGGTTAGGCTAAACAAACCAAGCTCCTCGAGTCTCCTTTCATAGGAAAGGTTTTCCATTCCTCGGATCATCCTAGTTGCCCTTCTCTGTACCCGTTCCAGTTTCAATTCATCCCTTTTAAACATAGGAGACCAGAACTGCACACAGTACTCCAAATGAGGTCTCACCAGCGCCTTGTATAACGGAAGCAGCACCTCCCTGTCCCTACTAGAAATACCTCGCCTTATGCATCCCAAGATCGCATTAGCTTTTTTCACAGCCACGTCGCATTGCCGACTCATAGTCATCCTGCGATCAACCAGGACTCCGAGGTCCTTCTCCTCCTCAGTCACTTCTAACCTATGCGTCCCTAGCTTATAACTGAAATTCTTATTAGTCATCCCTAAATGCATCACCTTACACTTCTCACTATTAAATCTCATACTATTACTAATACTCCAATTTACAAGGTCATCCAAGTCTCCCTGCAGAATATCCCGATCCTTCTCCGAGTTGGCAATGCCTCCCAACTTTGTGTCATCCGCAAACTTTATCAACCCACTCCTACATTCGGTTCCGAGGTCAGTAACGAATAGATTAAATAAAATCGGACCCAGAACCGAACCTTGAGGAACCCCACTGGTGACCTCCCTCCAATCTGACAGTTCACCTTTCAGTACTACCCGTTGCAGTCTCCCCTTTAACCAGTTCCTTGTCCACCTCTGGATTTTCCTATCGATCCCCATCTTATCCAATTTAACCAATAATTCCTCATGCGGAACTGTATCAAACGCTTTACTAAAATCGAGGTATATTAGATCCACCGCATTTCCTTTATCTAGAAGGTCTGTTACTTTCTCAAAGAAGGAGATCAGGTTGGTTTGGCACGACCTGCCTTTCGTAAACCCATGTTGTAATCTGTCCCAATTGCCATTCACCTCGAGGTCCTTAACTACTTTCTCCTTCAAAATTTTTTCCAAGACCTTACATACTACAGAAGTTAAACTAACAGGCCTGTAGTTACCCGGGTCACTTTTTTTCCCCTTCTTGAAAATAGGAACCACATTAGCTATTCTCCAGTCCAACGGTACCACCCCCGAGTTTACAGATTCATTAAAAATTATCGCCAAGGGGCTCGCAATTTCTCGCGCCACTTCCTTCAATATTCTAGGAT